TCATTGTAGTATTTTGCTTTGTCATTCCGAGCAGCCTTTTGGAATCTTCTGTTCAGCTCTTTAGTATCTTTAATTCTTCCTTCTGCTTTGGCTTCTCTACACTCCAGTGCAATCTTCAGAGTTTCTTCTGACATCCATTTTGGTCTTTTCTTCCTCTTCTGCCTTTGTAATGACCGTTTACACTCTTCCTGAATGATATCCTTGACATCCTCCCACAACTCATCTGGTCTTCGCTCATTAGTTTTAATTTACATTTTTAATTATTTTTTATTATCATTAATAATTTTAATCAAAAATCACATATATTTTCAATTCCTAATCATTCATTGTTGCACTTTTCTCCATGCCTACCTATCCCCTCCAATTTGTTCTTCTATTTGAAAAGTAAAAGCAAAATTCTTTCATTGTTATACAATCTCTCCTCCAAAGTCCACTCCACTATTCAGCCTTTGTTCTGGACTCCTATCATGACAGTAATACCTAATCATATATCCCTTTAAACAGTTCTCTCTCTCATATGTTTCAATACAGTATACATAATTTATCCCATCTTTCTCAATCTCCCCCAAACCCCAATGTAAGTCCCATTTTACAACAATGCACCATGCAGTATTTGTCCTTTTGTGTCTGATGTATTACACTCAGCATAATGTACTCTAGGGTCACCCATTTTTAATAATATTGCCTGAGTTCCTTGTCTTTCAATGAAGCGTAGTATTCCATTGTGTGAATATACCACAACTTCTCTATTCATTCGTTTTCTGATGGACACTTAAATTGTTTCCAAGTCTTTGCTATTGTGAACAAAGCTGTGATAAACATGGGTATGCATACATTTGCTTGGGTGGCAGTTATTCTCCGTATTGTCAATCGATATCCTCAGTAGTGGAATTCCTTGGTCAAATGATATTTCTATATGCAATTTTTTGAGAAACCACCATACTGCCTTCCCTAGTGGTTGCACCATTTTACACTCCTAGCAACTGGACCAATAAAGGTCCAGTTTCTCCACAACCTGGCCAGAATTTGTTGTTTGCTGCTCTATTGAATTTTGCTATTCTTACTGGAGTGAGATGATATTTAATAGTTGTTTTGATTTGCATCTCTCTCAGAGCTAGGGATTTTGAACATTTCTTCATGTGTTTGTTTCCCATCTGAATGTTTTCTTTGGTGAAGTGTCTGTTCATATCCTGTGCCCATTTTTCAATTGGGTTGTTTACCTTTATCTTGTTGTGGTGTTGTTAGGTGTGATCAAGGTGACCCTATGAATAACCAATCTGAACACTGTCCTGTCCTGTGTCATCCTCACAATCTCTGACACACTCAAAGCCATTGTTGCAGTCATTGTGTCAACCCACCAGCTCAAAGATCTTCATTTCTTTTGCAGTAACTCCACCTACCCAAGCATGATGTCCCTCTCCAAAAAACTCCTTTTCTAGCAGCATGCCCAAAGTATGTGTGATGAAGCTGCATCATCTTTGCCTCCAAAAAGCATCTGGCTTCAGCTTTTCCAAGACATATCTGATTGTTCTTTTGCAGTCCATGGGATCTTTAGTACTCTTCTCCAACACCACAGTTCAAAGGCATCAGTTCTTCTACTGTCATTCTCAAGAAGGGGATTAAATATAGAATGTATTTTAAAAGTTAATAATTTATATAAATCTAATAATTAGTTACATTTAAGCATTGATTGTACTGAGGTGATGAGAAAATCTATAGAAAGTACAACTAAATGTTTTTATAAAATCAGAAATGGATATAAGATAGGGCACCAGACGAATTTGTTGAGAAATATCTACCACTCCAGATGAATGTTTCACATCCTCCCGAAGTGAGTCTTCCAAGTTTGTTTTAGTCTAACACATCTATGGCAAATGTCATACTGAAAAAATATGTTAAATCAGAGAGAAAGTAGTTGAGAAGATCTGTTCCAATTCTATTGGTCTCTCTTACTATCTGAGTGATTTTAGGCATGTGTGTTTAACCTGGTTGAGTTTTATTTGTAAAATGTAGATAATGATTATCCTTTAGATGATTAAAAAATGCTGCATCAAAACAACTATATCATCTCACGCCAGTAACAATAGCAAGATTCGACAGATCAGCAAACAACAAATGCTGGCGAGGTTGTGGAGAAACTGGAAACCTTATTCAGTGTTGGTGGAGTGTAAAATTATGCAACCTCTCTGAAAGACAGTATGGTGTTTTCTCAAAAAGTAGGAAATAGAAATACTGTTAGATCCAGTAATTCTACCACTGGGAATATACCCTAAATAAACCACAATTGCTATCCAAACACATTTATGCACACCCATGTTTATTGCTGCTTTGTTCACAACAGCAAAGAGAGGAAAACAACCCAAGTTCCCATCAACAAATGAATGGATAGAGAAATTGTGGTATAGTCACACAATGTACTATATAGCATTGAAAAACAAGGTACTCATGAAATATACAAAATGGGTGACCCCAGAGGACATTATGCTGAGTGAAATATCTCAGTCACAAAAGGACAAGTACTGCATAATGCCACTGTAATAACACAGGACTGACATCAAGGTTGAGGGGAAACTGAGAAAAGAGGAGATAAATAATGTACACTGCATTGAAATAGATGAGGAAAGGACTGCTTAAAATGAATATATGATTTGGAATTATTTGCATGACAAGTCCAGACTAAGAGCTGCATGGTAAAGTAGACTGTTGGAGGAGGGTATTCTACAACAATGAAAGAATTTTATTTTTTTTTCAAAGAGAAATGCGAACTGTGGGGAAGGCTTGGGAAAGCAAGAAAAGTGTACAATAATGAATGCGTGGAAATCCATATTCTCTATAAACTTTCATTAAAATCTCAATTTACAAAAGGAAAAAAAAAATAGAAAAAAGAATGCTATAGAATTCCTGCTCATGTTCCTGTCATATAGAAGTCTTTTAAAAATGGCAGTTAGAGTTACTATTTTCAGAACTTTGTCACTGTCCACAGACTTCTCTAACTCAATATGGCCACTATTTTCCAACTACTCATTCAGAATTGACACTCTTTCCACAGCACAACTCAAGGTCTGTTTTTACTGTTTCAGAGCCACTCAAACTCAAAGAATTTGTATTCTTTCTAAAAATTATAAATCCTATTGCTATTAAAGAAAAGCTGTGGTAAGATATGTTGTTGTTGTTGTTTAATGCCGTCGAGTCGTAGACGACTCATAGCGACCTTATGAACAAACAGCCTGAGCACTGTTCGTACATAGAGTTTCCGGAGGCAAGCCATTTTGGAAGTGGATGCTGCTCCTGCTTCCAGATGGTAAGCTATAGTTCTTCTTATTTATTATTCGTGCCCTATAATGTATTATATCTTTCTTCTCAGAGGATGTGTGTGACAGTTTGTTTAGAATTTGTTTTTAGTATCTTTGTGGAAAAGTCTAGCTGGCTGTAGTCCTCAGGAGTGTCACTGCGCACAGATTTCATCCTGCCTTCTTCACTCCTTCACAGATGACAGCAAAGCTCGGATCAGCAGCAGCTTACCCTCGGCCACCCTGGGCAGCCTTTTGGATGACCAGCACTGGCACTCTGTCCTCATTGAACGGGTTGGCAAGCAGGTCAACTTCACAGTGGACAAGCAAACACAGCACTTCCGTACCAAGGGTGAGGCTGATGCACTGGATATTGATTATGAGGTGAGTCCTTGCTCACCTACAGTATTTAGCTCCGGAGAAGCTCCAAAATCAGTTAATGCAAGCACAACTCAGAGGGCATGTAGGTATGGAAAAAATCCTAAGGCCATTTTGCACTTCTCTCTGTACCCATGGCAATCTGAAGAAGCCAAGGGAATTTAGGTGATGAGCTATTTATACACATTTTAAAATCAGAGGGTCCTTTTCTTATTTTCCTTTCTGCTTTATTTCTGCTTATGTTGTTGTTATGTGCCATTGAGTCAACTGTGACCCATAGTGACCCTATGTACAGCAGCTCTGAAGTCTGCCCTGTCCTGAGCCAGTCTCACCAATTCTGACACACCAACTCCCATTGCCCCAGTTACTGTCTCAATCCATCACATCCAAAGTCTTCCTCTCTGCCCTGTCACTCCACCCTTCTGAGCATGATGTTCTTCTCCAAAGACCAGTCTCTCCTGGCCACGTGCCCAAAGTATGTAAGACAGAGCTTCAAAATTCTAGCCTCCAAGGAGAAACTTGGTTTCATACTCTCCAAGACAGAACTATTTGTTTTCTTGGCAGTAAATAGTATCTTCAAGACTTTTCTCCAGCACTAAATTAAAACTTTTATCATTCTTAGTCATTGTCCATTGTCTCTGATACATAGCAAGTAATTGTGAAGACCATGGTCTGGATTAGGCACACCTTACTCTCTAGACTGACATCATTGCTTTTCAGCACTCTACAGAGGTCCTTGACAGTAAATTTTCCCAATGCAATTAATCCTTTTACTTTCTGATGCTGGTGCTAAGAGTTCTGATCATGGAGCCTAGAAAGCAGTAATTGTTAATGACCTGAATCTCATCTTCATCTATCATGCTGTTGTCATTGTTGTAGTTATTTTTAAGTGTCGTTAAGTCATAGATGACTCATAGTGACCCTATGAATGAAGAACTGAACACCTGTGTAACTTTCATCCATTCTCCAGGTTCATAGGGTTTCTGGAGACAAGCTCTTTTGGAACTGGATGCTATTTCTGCTTCCGAACTTGTTTTAATCAGGGAGCTCCACCAAACACTGTCCACTATGGGTACCCATTATCACATTTGACACATCAGTGTCACAGTGTTCAGCTTCACAGCAACCACAAGTTACCTCTGTACAGCAAGTGGACATACCAGGACTATATAACCTAAAAGACTATTTCACCAAAAACAATTATAAATAGGCCCTCGGGCCCTACAGTATTTTACAATTCTGACACCCACATGAGACATAAAGAAAGCCATAAGAGCCAGACCGTTCCATATGTGACCCTCCTTAAGACATGAGAGGCCATCATAAGGTCCAGCTAGAACTGAGATTTACAACACACTAGCCCTCAGCCCTCAGGCTCATGGTGCTGCTAATTAGCCCAGTAGTAAGAAACGTTGTCTTCTTGATATTGAGCTTCAGTTCATATTGAATCAATATTGACCTTCTGCATCAAGCTCTTCAGGTCCTCTTCAGTTTCAGTAAGCAAGGTTGTGTCATCTGCATAACGTAGGTTGTTGAGTTATCCTCCAATCCTGAATTCACACTCCTTCTCATAAAGCCAAGACTCCTGAATGATCTGTCTTGCATAAAAAATTAATAGGTATGGAGATAGGATGCATCCCTGACACACTCCTTTCCTAATTTTGAACCATGCCCTGTTTCCCTGCACTTTTCTGAGGACTGCTTCCTGATCCGTGTAAAGAATTCACATAAGCACTATCCAATGTCCTTGCATTCTCATTTTCTTAAAGATTAGCCACAATTTGTTGTGATCCACACAGTAAAATTCCTTTGCATAGTCAATGAAACACAGGTAGTCATTTCTCTAGTATTCCCTTAATTCTTTGTCTGGTCTTTAGTTATAGGCATACTTGCCCCCCCCCCTTTCTTTCTTTTTTAAATTATACTAGTTTATTTACAAAATTCTAATACAATGCTTCTCACACCAGTTCTTTCCCATTTTCCTAACCCCTCCACCCATTGAATTTGTGCAACCCATGATTAATTCCCCTCCTTTGCCACTCATCTTCACCCCTCTCTTCCACCCTCCCCCACCCCCTAGATACTCATACTCATTCTACAATAATGATTTTATACAGTATTTATCCTTAAGGGAAAGTTAGTTCACTCAGCATAATGATTTTTAGTCCCTACCAAAGTAAGTAATGTTGTTGTTGCATGCTGTTGAGTAGCCTGTGACTCATGGTAACCCTATGCACAACAGCTGTAACCTTGCTCTATCCTGTGCCAATCTCTGTCTCTGACACACAGACCCCAATACCCCAGTCACTGAATCAACCCACCTCATAGAGGGTCTTCCTCTCCTACACTGTCCCTCCACACTCCCAAGCATGACACCCTTCTTAAAGGATTGGTCCCTCCTTGCAACATGTCCAAAGTTTGTCAGAAGAAGCTGCAGAATCTTTGCCTCCAAGGAGCAGCCTAGTTTAACTCTCTCCAAGATGAAGCTATTTGTTTTCTTAGCAGTCCATGGTATTTTCAATACTCTTCTCCAATGCCATGGCTCAAAGGCATCAATTCTTCTTCTTTCTTCTCTAGTCATTGTCTAACTCTCTGAAGCATAGCAAGTGATTGCAAAGACCATGGCCTGGTTCAGGCAGACCTTAGTTTCCAAAGTGTCACCATTGCTCTTCAGTACTTTGGAGAGGTCCCTAACAACAGACATTCCCATTGTAATACATCTTTTAATTTTATGGCTGCTGGTGCCAATAATGTTGACTGTGGAGCCAAGCAAACAAAAGCTGTTAACAGTCTCAGTCTCTCCACAATCCATTCTGGTGCTGCCAATTGGCCCAGTGGTGAGAATCTTTGTCTTCTTGATATTGAGCCTCAATACAAATTAAAGGCTGTAGTCGTTGACCTTCTACAGCAAGCACTTCAGGTCCTCCTCAGATTCAGCAAGTAGGGTTGTGTCATCTTCATAACCCAAATTGTTGATGAATCTTCCACCAATCCTGATACCACACTTCTCCTCAAATGGCCTAGAGTCCTGGATAATCTGTTCTGCATATAGATTGAAAAGGTATGGAAAGAGGACACATCCCTGGTGTACACCCTTTCCAATTTTGTCCAATGTAGTGTTTCCTTGCTCTGTTCCGATGACTGTCTCCTGACCCAAGTATAGATTTCACATTAGCACAATCAAGTGTTCTGTGATTCCCATTCTTCTCAGAGTCAGCCACAGTTTGTTATGATCCACACAGTCAAACACCTTTGCATAATATTACTTCTGCATGCTGCGTAGTATTCCATTGTGTGCATGTACCATAATTTCTCAATACATTCATTTGGGTTTCATCATCTGGGCTGTTTCCATGTTCTTGCGATGGTGAATAATGCTGCTATGAACACTGGTGTACAAGTCTCCATTTGTGCCTCATTTTTCATTTACTCAGTGTATGTTCCAAGCAGTAGAATAGATGGGTCATGTGGAATTTCTATGTTTAGCTTTTTTTTAATTGATATTTTAATGAAAGTTTTTAGAGAACATGGATTTCCATTCATTCATTGTTGCACGTTTTCCTCCCTGCATATCCCCTCCCCCTTAGTTTGCTTTTCTCTTTGAAAAAAAAAATCTTTCAATGTTATGCAATACCCGCCTCCCAGTCCGCTTTACTATGCAGCTCTTATTCTGAACTGTTGTCATGCAAATAATATGTACTCACTAAGCTGTTCTCTCTTTGAAAAATCACTAGACCACTTTCCAAAGTGGTTGTAACATTGTACAATCCCACCAACAGTTTATAAGAGTTCCTATTTAGCCACATCCTCTCCAACATGTATTACTTGCTGTCCCGTTAATCTTTTCTGCAGTTACTGGAGTGAGATGTTTTTTTTTTAGTTGTATCTCTCTTCTAGCCAGTGATTTGAAGCATTTCTTCATGTGTCTGTTAGCCATTCAAATACCTTCCTCTGTGAAAATGCTTTCCATACTTTTTTGCCCATTTTGTAATCATGTCATCAATCTTTTTCTTGTGGAAGCCCAGGACCATAATTAGTTGAATTAGCAGATTGTACATCAATTATGAATGAGCTGTATCTAAAGGATTCTGCAGTCTTCACACTAGACATTTACTTTTCACATTCATTCTTATAAAGGACAAGTGATCAGTGCATTTCCCCATCTCTTCAATACAGGGAACATTATACAAAATTCTTCAAAATAGCAGCCAAACAATTAATCAAACTACGATACTTATAAGATTAGTTTAAGAATAAACAGATTATATTTGTCCTCTACTCAATTTTTTGGAAGGATGAGTGGCATTCACTTCCTTAATATCTTGCCTCCGAAAACCCTATGAACCTGGAGAGAGGATGAAAGGCACCCAAGCATTGAGGACTCTCCTTCTTAGGGTCTCTATGAGTTGCCTGCAACTTGATGGTACTTATCAACAACAACAACAACTCAATTTTAGTACTAAAAAATATAGTTCTTCTTATTAATTTTTCATGACAATTAATTGTTCATATGCAGACATGGGTGTGTAAGAGTTTCTAATATGGAGTTGCTCGCAACCTCCTAAAAACGTCAGGGCTGTGATAAGAAGAAAAAAGCAGTAAATGCTACATTCAGGAACAGGCTCAACCTTGAGGAATGGCATGATCCAACTCTGAAAGGAAAAAAAAACCTAATCTGATTAAGAAGGTTAAAAAGGTATGAATGCTAAACCAGTGCTCATTTTATATTAGGTCATGAATCATGAATTTACTAAAAGTTCAATGTTTTGTTTCTTTTTAAGTGTGTAATACCAGGCAGACAAACCAATGTAGACTAATACATGAGAGCCAATGGTTACAATGTTAGGAATTTTATGAATGGATGTAACAATCAAATACCTTTCTAAAAGCTAAAATGTATACATTTATAATTTTAAAATAAACCCTGTTGCTGTCATGTCAATTTTCAATTATGGCAACTCCTTATAGGAGTTCTGCCCTTACAAGTAAGTACTAGGTGGAATTTG